GGTCCGATTCATGATGCAAGATGAGTTAATTTAAGATTTATAATTAATTGGTACAAGGCATTCCTTTCGAGTATTTAAAGTGAATTCACAAAGATCATAATTGAACGTTCATCAATTTTTGAGAAGAAAATTTAATTTAATTTGAATGGCATGGCATGGTCAAATTCAAGGCCATTTCGGAAATCTATCTAGAATTTTTGGAGTTCTTGTCATTTAGAATTCAAAAGTTAAATTGAGAGTGCAAGGCATAGCTCATTTGTTCAATTTTGCTTAAAGCATTAATCAAAAGGATTTCAAGTTCAAATCCATAATAAAAGGAAGGACCATCCATGTGGATACCTTGGAATTCAAATCACTTTGGAAAAGAAATAAACACTATAGTTTTATCATACCACCTTTAATTTTCATGAATAAAGAATCGAGATCATTCAAACTTTTCTCGAATTCGTCCATTTTCATACAAGTGTCAAGTAAAGTTCATGCAAGTTTCTACAAGATTACATTAAAAAATTCATCCAAAGTCTCCAAATATACACGTTCATCATGATTCACATGTTTCTATTCCAATTCCATCATAAAAGTACGCTTTGCAAAAGTTATTCAACTACATCATTCAAGTTACAATGGTGTTTTGAAACATTACAAAACAAAAATTACATGTTGTGACAACAAGTTCTAAGTATCCATAAGTTATTTTAGCTTGCTTCATGTTTTCTTCAACCTCCAAAATCCCTCTTCATCAAAAAGCCTACTGCCCATAATCTTGCAAAAAGCAGTCCTTGTCCAAGCTACTAATAGCTCCAACAATATACTAGCCCACAAGAACAAGCTGCATAGTAGCTCCAAAACCTGCTATTAAATAGCCCATAAATAGCCCATAAAATAGCCTGCAAACAGAAAAAAAACTATCAAAAACAATCCAACCTTGCTACAAAACAATAGCCCCGTTGTTGTCCCCAAATGTGCTGCACATGCTGCCCAAAACCTACATAGTAATGCCAAGAAAATTAGTTCAAAACCCTGTCAATACAGTCCAAAAAATCTGTACCAAAACAGTCCATCAATTGCACAAAGTTAGCAAATAAAAAAACTGCAATGGAAAGTTTGTTTTCAGCACACCAAAACAGTTCAAAAATGTATCCTTTCCCCCATAAAAACTCATATGCCCCACTATAAACACAAACCTCTGCTCAAGCTATTGGCGGGATCAAGATACCTGAGTAACACACAGAAAAAACTAAACTGAAAAAAAACCATTTTCTTCATATATCCTTCATCCCAAAAATCATTCACAACTTCAGCTCAAAATTATAAATCGTCCATACAGAAACATCATACATAGAAGAAAAATAGAAAAAAAACTTATGTAAAAAAACTCATTGTTTATCTTCCTCTGTTTAACCATAGCTCACGCCATAAATAACCTCAAACTTCCCACTTGATTCTTCATGTTATCACATTCAACTTTCAGCGAACAACGACAACTCGGAAATACCTCGGCAACTCCAAATTAGAAGAAATTCAGAATGAGCAGAAAGCCAAGAGAGAGAAGGATTTCAAAACTTACCCGATATCTCGCCGAAATAGTACTGTCGGACTAGCTCCGACTATGTGAGTAGTTTCTTATTTTTTTCTACATATTTAGATACCGGTCTGTTGTTTATGTTGTAATAAGTATATATCCTTAAACTATGATGAATTTGCTCATGTTATTTCATTCTTTTTTGTTGTTGTTTTTGATCAGATAAAGATAAATTCCTGAAACAAGCCAGGGCAACTATCTCTTCGACCAACAAAAAATGGGTTCGGATTAATACCTGAAACAAGATAGGATAACTATATGTGAACAACTGATTGTAGATTAATACCTGAAACAAGACAGGATAACTATCTACATGAGAAAATTGAAGATTAACTCCCGAAATAAGATGGGGAAACTATATTTCTTTCTCTTTTGTCAGATAAAGATCAATTCCTGTAGACATTTTCTATGGTTCAATCAAATCGACCCTAAGAATTTTTCTGATTCTTATCTAGACAAAAACAAATACATACATCTGCTGTTTCGGTATAAATTAACCAAAGATTTACCCTGATACTTCTTCCAATCTTTATCGACAATCCTTTGGATGGCATCTATAAGCCCATCTCCGACGATTCTCAACCACTTCTTATGGCATCTATAAGCCCATCTCCGACAATATTCTGTCACTCTTCAAATGGCATCTATAAGCCCATTCTCGATACAATAAATCGAAAGTGTTACTTCTGGCACAAGCGAGTGCAAATTTATGGGCACTTTAGTATTCAATCATCTTCTACCTTCGAGTCACAAATGCTAGACATGCCAATCTAACTCTTAAGGTTTAAGAAGATTGAACAGGGGCAGCTGTTGTACCCCAAAATTTTCCCTCCCATTTTCATTCAAGATGTTATCCTAGGGTTTCTCAAATACTCAAAATGGCTCAGGGTTTGATCAGACAAATTCTCTTCTTAGGCATTGAGTCAATAATTAGGGTTTGTTATTTCTCAAGCAAAATTGAGTTTCTAAGGTTTCAAATGGTCTTCATAGTTATTCATGTATTCTCAAGGATGTTCGTACCAAGTTTCAAGTTTGCATTGCATGTTTGCTCAGTCGATAATTCAGATGACTAAAAAGCAACCGCGTTGACCCAAAAGTTGACCTTTTCAAGATCAAATTCAAACAATTGTAACCTCTCAATTATTTTATATTTTTGAGCGGTTCTTTTTGCATATGACCTTTCTTAACGTCATCTCCAACTTCTCTTTACAAGTCAAGAGCTGATTATGTGCGAAAGATCATCAAAAATTTGAATACTTTAGAGGTCACTTTCTGGATTTTGACCTAATCTCAAGTAACTGTTGCTTGACTTCCAAGAATCATAATTTCCTCAACTTTCAAGATCTTGAGACGATTATTTTTGCACATTGTCATAAGGAATGTCATCTACAAGTTTACTTTAAAAATCGAAGTCAAATTGTGTTTAGAAGGCCTTGAAATTTAGTGAAACGTTATAGGTCATTTTCTTTGATTTAAAAGTTTCTTAATTTCTAATTTCAATTCATGGTGCCAACTTCTCAACACAATAACTTTTATCTTGAAGTCCACTTGTATTGATTATTCAAGGCCTTTTAGGTTTGGTCCGATTCATGATGCAAGATGAGTTAATTTAAGATTTATAATTAATTGGTACAAGGCATTCCTTTCGAGTATTTAAAGTGAATTCACAAAGATCATAATTGAACGTTCATCAATTTTTGAGAAGAAAATTTAATTTCATTTGAATGGCATGGCATGGTTAAATTCAAGGCCATTTCAGAAATCTATCTAGAATTCTTGGAGTTCTTTTCATTTAGAATTCAAAAGTTAAATTGAGAGTGCAAGGCATAGCTCATTTGTTAAATTTTGCTTAAAGCATTAATCAAAAGGATTTCAAGTTCAAATCCATAATAAAGGGAAGGACCATCCATGTGGATACCTTGGAATTCAAATCACTTTGGAAAATAAATAAACACTATAGTTTTATCATACCACCTTTAATTTTCATGACCAAAGAATCGAGATCATTCAAACTTTTCTCGAATTCGTCCATTTTCATACAAGTGTCAAGTAAGGTTTATGCAAGTTTCTACAAGATTACATTAAAAAATTCATCCAAAGTCTCCAAATATACACGTTCGTCATGATTCACATGTTTCTATTCCAATTCCATCACAAAAGTACGCTTTGCAAAAGTTATTCAACTACATCATTCAAGTTACAATGGTGTTTTGAACATTACAAAACAAAAATTACAAGTTGTGACAACAAGTTCTAAGTCTCCATAAGTTATTTTAGCTTGCTTCATGTTTTCTTCAACCTCCAAAATCTCTCTTCATCAAAAAGCCTACTGCCCATAATCTTGCAAAAAGCAGTCCCTGTCCAAGCTGCTAATAGCTCCAACAATATACTAGCCCACAAGAACAAGCTGCATAGTAGCTCCAAAACCTGCTATTAAATAGCCCATGAATAGCCCATAAAATAGCCTGCAAACAGACAAAAAACTATCAAAAACAATCCAACCTTTCTACAAAACAATAGCCCCGTTGTTGTCCCCAAATGTGCTGCACATGCTGCCCAAAACCTGCATAGTAATGCCAAGAAAATCAGTTCAAAACCCTATCAATACAGTCCAAAAAATCTGTACCAAAACAGTCCAGCAATTGCACAAAGTTAGCAAATAAAAAAACTGCAATGGAAAGTTTGTTTTCAACACACCAAAACAGTTCAAAAATGTATCCTTTCCCCCCTAAAAACTCATATTCCCCACTATAAACACAAACCTCTGCTCAAGCTATTGGGGGGATCAAGATACCTGAGTAACACACAGAAAAAACTAAACTGAAAAAAAAAACCATTTTTTCATATATCCTTCATCCCAAAAACCATCCACAACTTCAGCTCAAAATTATAAATCCTCCATACAGAAACATCATACATAGAAGAAAAATAGAAAAAAAAACTTATGTAAAAAAACTTATTGTTTATCTTCCTCTGTTTAACCATAGCTCACGCCATAAATAACCTCAAACTTCCCACTTGATTCTTCATGTTATCATATTCAACTTTCAGCTAACAACGACAACTCAGAAATACCTCGGCAACTCCAAATTAGAAGAAATTCAGAATGAGCAGAAAGCCAAGAGAGAGAAGGATTTCAAAACGTACCTGATATCTCGCTGAAATAGTATTGTCGGACTAGCTCCGACTATGTGAGTAGTTTCTTCTTTTTTTCTACATATTTAGATATCGGTCTGTTGTTTATGTTGTAATAAGTATATATCCTCAAAATATGATGACTTTGCTCATGTTATTTCATTCTTTTTTGTTGTTGTTTATTATGTTGTTGGAACCCATGCAAATATAGTGAGACCCACAGAGTATATCGAGAGTAGACGGAGGGAGTATATCTACGAGAGAAACCGAATACTGTTTCCTTTTATTGTTGAACGACCAGAGAATAAAAATCCACAATTTCCTCCAAACCTGTCTCATATCCCCTGTATGAAAACCCAAAAAGTTTTGTTCAAAAAACACAAAAAAATTCAGAGATGAAAATAGTAATATACCTTCAAATGTTTTTTTTTCTTTCTGAACACCCTTTTCTTCTTCCTTCATACACCGTAACTCCCTCTGTCTCTTCTAGCTTCAGACCATACCAAGGCTTCCCTACCTCCGCCAACACCACCATCATCACCGAATGAACCCCTCCCCACTTCTGTCCAACTAAACTGTCAACCCTCTCTGATTCTACACTAGCATCGCATCTCCCTCCGTGTATCCTCGATATCGCCAACACTCCCATCAACATCGTCCTCTGTCAACCACAACCGCTTCACCGTCTCAAACCTTTAACCACCGCTGCCGACCTGACCCAAAAACCCTCTACTATCCGCCCACAACCTCCATCCTCACCATTTCATCCCGTCAATCGACCGTTAAACATCATTAACCTCCATTCGATCCATCTCATCTGCTGAAAACCCACAGACTTTTTCCTTGTGGACGCTGCAGAGTGCTCTGGATGAGAGTGCTTGTAATTTTTTGTGACGCCTTTGAAAATCAACCATGTTAAGCTTCATCCTCATAACTCTCTTGAATCCGAATGGGAGATTTATGAAAAATTAATGACTGTTAAGGTTATAATATTGAGGGAGAGAGTGATAAGAAGAGAAGAAGTAGAGGATTGGATTTAGATTAGAGAGAGTCTTGATTTTGTGTTTCACGGTTAAACATACAAAGGAGAGTTTTATTGGTAAGACATTTAGTCTATTTTTCTCTTCCTAATGTTAACTCTAGCCGTGACGCTTAGATATTTAGGGTTACAAGCAATTTCCTTTGTTCTATTCTAACCAGGTCAGCCCATTGGGCTGCTGGCCCAATCCGCTACTGTTTTCCTTTTTGTCATAATTTAATCATGGATATAATGAATAAACAGAACAACTCAATTGGCAAGGCATTGTTTACAGCCCCAAGAGAACCCGGGTTCAACCCCGACTGGAATGCTTTATTTTGTTTTTTAGTTCATTTAGCTTATTTCCCAAGTTCCTTAATATTTGATAACACAATTAGTATAGGTTGTAGTTTTAAAACTCAATTAAGTAAAAAAATAAATTATAAATGAATTATTTTTTTAAATTAGTTTAGTTAGGGATTTTGTAAATAATTTTACTAATTAACTTTTTATTTAGTCTTAAATTGTTTTGTTTAAATTCTTCATAATAAAAAAAAACAAAAGATATATATATATATATATATATATATATATATATATATATATATATATATATATATATATATATATATATATATATATATATATATATATATATATATATATATATATATATATATATATATATATATATATATATATATATATATATATATATATATATATATATATATATATATATATATATATATATACACACACATTCGATTTAATTTCTCACAAACAAAAATACCAAGAATTTTATTTCCATATTTTAAATTAACTTTACAGATTGTTGTAGTTTTAATTAATTTTTTGATTCGATTTGGTTATATTGATTGCTTATTTAGATTTTTAATCACATTGACGATTCGATCCATCCCCATTTGTAAATTTGTATTCCCCATTCTCGAAAGCTCTGTAATAGCCTAGAATTTTAATTTCCACAATTTACTATTTTTCTTTATACCATATAGTAATTAGGTGTGTATGGCAAGATTTAAAATCAATCGCTAGACAACCCTAATAATAGACAAATTAACTTGAATCAAACACACTTTTCACACACGCACCCCTATGGTAACCTCTCTTGTTGCCTCGAAAAAATAGTCATGTCCCTCGAATGGGGGACGCTTTAGCAAAGATTCTCGAATAAAAAAGATCGTAGTTCCTCGATGACCCTTTGAGTTACCTTCGGTAAACGATCTAGTCCCTTATGAAAATTGCTAAAGCGTCTCACAAGTTTCCTTCTATGACTGTATGATTGACTCGCGCCTGTCCCTTCACATCCAATGATGGGGCTTCTTACCAAATCAATGGTAAGATAGCAATATCTAAAGGAGGAGGAAACGAACAAAGACCTTTTGAGTAGGTAGGACGCTCGTAGTTGCTTTCTCACGAACTAAAACCATTTCCACACTTACACTTTCAAAACATCTTCAAAAACATCTCTTTGAACTATTTTCGAAACCAACACTTTGTATACATTCTTATAGAGATGAGAATCATTACAAAGTTTACCGAAACAAAGGCATTTTAAAAATATTTTCAAACTTTCACCAAACACAAACACATTTCAAACAAAGCATTTTCAAAGTGATCAAGCAACTAAGATCTCATAGATAACTACAAATGAAAAGGGTACTAACACATTCCCTTTTCATAACCTACCCCTCGAACTCAAGAAAAATTCTCAAAAGGTCTTTCCTGTTCTTTTCACCCTTTCCTTTATTGGATAAAAGAAAAGTCGGTGGCGACTCTTGCTATCTGCAACAATTGCGATAAAACGCAAAACACCTAAGACAGTTCTCCCACCGTATTATAGATAGCATGAGTGTTCTCCTGGCTCCTTGAGTAAGCACTTATTTTGGTTCTTATGCGTACATTTGTTAACAGTTAATCATGTTCATATGCATATGTTCATTCAATTTTAGTCATTGGACGTTTTTGAAATCAAAACAGAAAAATAAAAAAGTTTGCACTTCGAAGTATATTTGTATTGATAATTTTCCTATAAACATGCGTTGTTGTATAAAGAGACAGAAATCCTAGTAAGAGGAAGTCGTCGTGAAATGAAGAGAATACAAAGTGAAAATAAATAAATAAATAAATATATATATATATATATATATATATATATATATATATATATATATATATATATATATATATATATATATATATATATATATATATATATATATATATATATATATATATATATATATATATATATATATATATATATATATAGTCATGTGGAAATGATCTCACCGGGGTTCCAACTCTGCTATTGCCCCTATGTCTTTGAACATCCCATTCTTTGATGTTAGAAGAAGTTTATTAAACTGATCTTATACCATTTGAACTTTTGACATTGGTAATAAAGCTAGATGTAGTGATCCAATGGGACATAGTCGTACGCTTTGATCCTTAACTTTTTCCTGGATCGCCCTTTCAGGTTTTCAGTCCACCAGGAAACCCTTTTTTTCCCATGCCGCCCTCTCAGGTTTTTTAACTTGTCGGGTGTACAATCTTTTGTATATATCCCTAATTTTTTCCTAAACCTTTATGGTTTTCCGGGATGTTCTTATGCGTAGTATTTTTTGACTATGTCCGTGTTCACAGGATGCGAGAAAACTTCACCGTCCATAGTGGTTAGCATCATAGCACCGCCCGAGAAGACTTTCTTGACAACAAATGGCCCTTCATAAGTGGGAGTCCATTTACCCCCGGGATCTCCTTGTGGTAAAATGATGCGCTTTATTACCAAGTTGCCAGTCTGATATACTCGATGCTTGATCTTCTTGTTGAATGCCTTGATCATACGCTTTTGATACATTTGAACATGACAGACAACAGCCAACCACATTTCATCAATCAAATTCAACTGATCCGACCTAGTTTGGATCCATTCGTCCTCGCCTAAGTATACTTCTTTTATAATCCTTAAGAAAGTAATCTGAACTTCGACAGGAAGGACAACTTCCATACCATAAACTAAAGAGAATGGGGTTTCCCCAGTTGATTTTCGTGCCGAGGTACGGTAGCCATGAAGAGTAAACGACAGTATATCATGCCATTCTTTATAGGTCATCACCATCTTTTTCACAATCTTCTTTATGTTCTTGTTGGCAGCATCCACTGCGCCATTCATCTTAGGTCTGTATGGAGAAGAGTTGTGATGCTTGATTTTGAATTGCATGCAGAGTTTAGTGATCATAGCATTGTTGAGGTTGGTTCCGTTATTGGTGATGATCCTTTCAGGGATGTTGTATCTATAGATGAGGTTATGCTTGATAAATCGGGCTACAACATTCTTGGTAACTGAAGCAAATGAAGCTGCTTCGACCCATTTAGTGAATTATTCAATGGAGACGAGGATGAAACGATGTCCATTAGACGCAGTGGGCTTTATTTCTCCGATCATGTCAATGCCCCACATTGAAAATGGCCAAGGAGCAGTGATGACATTTAACGATATTGGAGACACATGAACTTTATCAGCATAGATCTAACACTTATGGCAAGTCCTCGAATGGTGGTGACAATCAGTTTCCATAGTCGACCAATAGTAACCAGCCCTCAGAATCTTCTTGGCTATAGTATGTCCACTAGAGTGAGTTCCGAAGATATTGTCATGCATGTCCTCCATGATCTTCTCTGCTTCCTTCTTATCAACACAACAAAGCAGAGTTGAATCATGGTTGCGTTTGTACAAAATCCCATTGCTTAGGAAGAACTTGGATGAGAACCTTCGCAAGAATTTCTTGTCATTGATTGAGGCTCCCTCAAGGTATTCTTGTGCTTCAAGGTACCTTTTCACCTCATGGAACCAAGGCTTCTCCTCATCAGTGTCAATCTCACAATAGTGTATCGGTTCGTCGAATCTTTCGATAGTAATTCTAGGAGCTTCATTGTCCCAATTGACCTTGAACATAAACGACATAGTCACTAAAGCATCTGCCAACTGATTTTCTTCCCTTGGGATATGTTCAAAGGTGATCTCTTCAAAGTATGGGATCAAGGTTAGCACAAGCTCTTTATAAGGGATCAGATTTGGATGTTTGGTAATCCCACTCTCCTTTAACTTGACTGATCACTAGGGCTGAATCTCCGTATACTCTTAAGAACTTAATTCTTAGGTCAAAGGCAGCCTTAAGGCCCAAGATGAAAGCTTCATACTCAGCCATGTTGTTGGTACAGTCGAAGCAAAGTCTGGCAGTGAAAGGTGTATGACAACCTTCACGAGAAATGATCATAACACCAATTACGTTACCTAGTGCAGTGGAAGCTCCATTAAAAACCATAGTCCATCGGGATCCTTGTTCAAGTCCTTCATACGGTCCAGGCTTTTCACAGTCAGTTATCAGCATGATATTCTTGTCTGGGAATTCAAAGTTCATGGTTTGGTAGTCATCAACAACTTGATGCACCAAATGATCCTCCAGTACACTTTCTTTGATTGATTTTTATGTAGTGTACTGGATGTCATATTCAGTCAAAATCATTTGCCATCTAGCTATTCGTCCGGAGAGAGCTGGCTTCTCGAAGATGTACTTAACGGGATCCATCTTAGAGATCAAGAGAGTAGTATG